ATCACATCCACCACCATCCGTTAGAGGATTTATTCCATAAACGTTGAGGTTCCCATCCATATGGAATCCTCTGGTGGGTCTGTCCAGTGAACTTCCTTCTAGCAAGCACCCATGCGTTACATCAGGTTGTCGGCAAACAACCTTAACAAGTGAGATCAGTCACTGCCTTTCGACAGGGTCGTTCAACACTATGATAGTCTTACCGTATTATCTGCGTCCTTGGTTAGAATAATATTGGGGCTATGGATGTTTATAGAATGGCCACCATATATGATTATAGGGTTCTCACTATCAAAATTTGAAACACTTGATACCCTCGTCACAATTCTACCATTCTAAGGACATATATCAATACATATAATATGATTTACGTGATATAGTAGGATATGCCTTTTATTGATAAATAAACATTTATTACAGAGTCAATTTTATAATAATTGATTGGCTCTAGGGCACCTACTCTAATTGTCGTGAGATTCATGTTGGGATCCTTGCACTTTCTTGATCCCTGTCGAGGTGGGAAACTTTATCTTCAGATGGTAGATAGAGGTGACAGCCTTGAAATTCCGTAGTAGAGGGCGTCCCAGGATGCCATTGAAGGTAGACGGATAGTTTGCCACCAAGAAATCTGTCACCTTGGTCATTTCATTGGTTTCACCCAACGTGACGGGGAGTGCAATTGTTCCCTTAGGAATTAGGTGATCCTTGGCAAAACCGTAGAGGGGGAAGGAGGCAGGCTTCAGGTCTGCCTCGTCCTCTTGCATTCTTTCGAAGGCTTGCTAAAACAGGATATTCACGACACTTCTATTGTCGACCAACATTTTGTGGACTTCGCACTGGCCTATTTCAGACGGGATGACGAGTGCATCATTGTGGGGGTGATGCACTCGTATTGCATCTTTTTCGAAGAAGGTAATTTCTTCTTCCCTACGGATCTTAGCAGGTGGCGGAGCTGTGCTCATTACACTCAAGGGGTCATGGCGAGCTTCCGAGGTATACCTTTTTTGGCACCTCGAGAGTTCCCCGCGAGGTATGGCCCCCCGAAAATGATGCTTACACAGTAGAGCCCCTTGCAACCACGGTGTCTCTTCCCCTGTTCCTTCTTTTTCCCGAATGGGAGTCGGACCGTCAACATATTCCTTGAAGTGCCCATGTTTGATGAGGTCTTTAATTGCTTGCTTGAGAGCCCAACACTCATTAGTATGATGCCCATTGTCTTGATGATAATGGTAGTACTTTTTGTTGTTCCTAGCTGAGAAATGATTCTTCATGGGCTCTGGTTCTTCGAGCAGGCTGGCCTCCTCTAATTTATCCAGAATTATCGATACTAAGGCATTCAAATGAGTGTACTGATTCTTGTCGCGATCGCGACGAGGAACTGGGGCTTAAGACTTTTTGGGCTCGAATCGCTGCTTCTTTCTTTTTTGCTGATCATCATTAGCCCTACCGCGATCATCTCTTCTACTGTTCTCCCCCCGACAGGGAACACCGGTTGAAGGATCGGGGTTGTGGTGATTGAGAGCAACCACAGAATTTTCTATTCGGAGAAAGTTCTCGATGAGTTCGAAAAACGAGTGAGGGAAACATCGTCCTCGGATTGTAGCTCTTTCCATAAGTCAGTCTGTGGGCAAACCCCTGTAATAATGAGAGTCAGAACGGACTCTTCAGGAGTGTGAGCCACTTTGTGGAGTTCGCGGTGAAACTTATCTATATAAGATTGGAGGGACTCAGCACTCTCCTACCGTATATTGGTCAGGTAGCTCAACGACATTGAGAATCCTATTTGCCTAGAAGTGCCTTAAGAATAATGAGCTCATTTGTAGCCATGAGCTTATTGATCCTGCAGGGAGCGACCTGAACTAGCGTTTGGCATGGGTGGTTAATGTCACTGCTAAGCAGTGCCATTTGACCAAGTCGGAGACTTGGTGGAGTTCCATAAGGTCATTGAACTCGTAGAGGTGGTCCTGCGGATCAGAATTTTCGTCGAATGCCTGCATGTCGAGCATTTTGAATCTCGATGGGGGAGGAGCAGCTAGTACTGCTAGAGAGAAGGGGGACGCCTCAGCGACCTTACCCTGTTCATTTTGTTGAGCCTTGAGCTGATCCAATTGTCGCTGCAGCTCTTCAATCTGAGATAACAGAGCTATCGAGGGGTTACTTTCCCCAACGTGGGTTCGACCCTCATGGTTACAATTGAGGAAAGACCGAAGGTTGGGCCTTTCTGCTGCTCGACCGAAAGCTTCGGCGCACCCTGACACACACTAGCTAGAGCTATGTAAGGGTAGCAAATGGCTCGGGGAATTTTTCTAACCCCCGCAGTGGTCAGAACCGACCAGTGGATGGTGGGGGTTACCCCGATGGCGACGGTTGGGACCATTATTTTGATGAGGCTAGGAATCTCCCCGGCCTGCACTTTTACGGGTGTGCCCATACGACGTGGCACGGGACGGCTCATGCTATGACATGTCACCAAGTCGCAACACCACGGGTATTCTACCCGCTGCGTGACCGATGTTCGCTAGCCCCTCAGAGCCTTCTAGTCCACTGCTCGCCACTTGTTTTCCCTTACTTTTACATGCTGCAGTGCGTGCGGTTCAGGCCTTTGCCCTTTTCTGCACTTTCGCGTGACCTGCAGGCGTCTTTGGCAGTGGCAACGCCTCATTATACTCCAGTGGCATAACCCGGTCCAAATGGTCCAGCCTCTGGCTAATCGTTTGGAGAGTATTGTTGAACCTCTCCAGGTAATTCATCACGGTTGGGTCAAGTTGTGAGCTAGAAGGAATATCCACCATGATACTCTGCTAGACTGGCGGCACTTCAAGAGAAGTGTCAGTCTGTTCCTGGGGGACTTCCTCATTGTCGATATTGGTTCACTCAATTTCGAAACCGCTAGCCATTAGTTGGTGCACAGGATCAGTCAGAGGTTCTAATGAAGAGCGGACACTAAATCAGGCCCTTCCTCTAGCGTCAAACTGTTGATGTTTGATTTTAACACCAACTATTCGCACATGTGAAGTGCTAAGCGGACTTAGAAATCACACGTGATATGGAACTGCAAAAAGGAGATATAGAGCGGGTAGCAATCTTTAAAGTGGTTCGGATGCTCTAAGGCAAATCCTAAATCAACTGTGGTTATATTAATGGCTGATTACAATCAAATCGCACTTGACGAGCTAAATTACAATAGAGAAAATAAAATAAATGTAGAGAGAGAGATAAAGAGAAAGAGAGAGAAAGTATATGTTTTAAGTGGTGGATGAGCCAATCCTATAAAATAGAGGAGAGCTCTCTATTTATAGTTGGAGGATTCAAGCTGGTAATCATGATTCTGTGTGCGGGCAGGTGTGGTACAATTCCTAACCCGCTTCCCATTGGTTATCTGCATGAAAGATTTCCTTAAATCGCGTAGGGCTTCAGCAAGTGGACAATTCACAGCCACTCGTAGGTCTAGCGTTCACCTACCTTACTGACGATGGCCTTACCCCTCACGTCCTTGCGGAACGTGGCTGCATCCAGACGATAGAAAACCTTCCTGAACTCTGATTGGTTTCTACTGATGCATGCCTACGCCAGCCCTGGTTTTTGGGCATAAAAAATAATAATCATAAAACTACAAAATGCCAACTTATCAAATTTATATGTATAGTCAGGATTTAACATGTATACATAATTTGTATCTTAATTGAAGGTATTCTACTAATTTTCTATCTTTTGTTCATACATGCAAATTTTAAGAGATTTATAATGCAAAGTATTTAAAATTAGTTAAAGATTCAAAGTATATATTTAAACTTTATCTCATAAATTAATTAAATTATATCTATTAAATGGATTGCCAATGCAAAACTTAAAAATGCCAACTCATAATATTATTTAACATGCATCCACTAATTGAAATCAATCAAATTACTTCTTATTTTGTGGTTTTATGTCTATACATGACAACTTTAAATTACACTATATTTGTCTATTAAAGAAAAGCAAGCCATATAATCTTTAAATAATTGTATTTGTTTTTAATTTTGGTAATTTGGTTGGTTGGATTTACTTTGCATTTTTCATTTAGAAGATATGGAATATCAAAAAAATTTATGCTTTACATGGTAGCTACAAAGTTTTGAATATTTAATTTACTTAAACTATATTATTAATTAAATTCCAAAGTCAGTATAACTGGAAAATGTTTATCATTAATTCATCATGTAGATTTTGAAGTTTTAAAATAATAGTTCATATATCATTCACATGTAATTTGATGTAAAATCTTTTAAATTGCCTCCTTAATTTATCAAACATTTAATATCTTTTTTTAATGATGCTTTATTTTATTTCAATAACATAAACAACACTTGGCATGTTTAGAAAAATCCTTAAAACCAACCTTCTATCTATAAAACAATTCCTTTTATATGTTTTATTTAACAATTACACCATCATTAATTTTCATTCTTCATAGTAACACTTTCATCATTGGATACACAAAAGACTTTCTCCCTTATAGAAACAAATATAAATCTATAAACAACACATGGGATACACCAAAAATTTCTCCTTTAAGAATGGAAGATCAATGCATAAATTTAGAACATAAATGACAGACAACTGATGGTAAGCATATCAATTGTTTATGTCTTGTATTAGGTTGTTAGAAACTTAAATATTTTTTCTGTAAGTGAAAGAAGAACAAGGACTTCACCAATATATTTAATTTTTAATTTTTCATATATCATTAAATAATTAATCATGCTTCCATTTATGAAATCAAGCAAATAATTATAGATTCCTTATATAAACGAGTATTTATTTAACATGTTCACGTTGTACTTTGAATAATCACATTTTTGGAATAATTATAGGCAAGCCTTATCATATAAAAAATTACTTTAATCCTAGCCAAATAACTATAAAATGAGATTTCTTTCCATAAGTAGAAAAAGATTATATAATTCTTAGTACATAAATTGAACTTGCGTCTTCCAAAATTATTATATTGTCACAACATGAAAGAGGATGGTCAACTTGTTAAAGCTTTATCAAGTTCTATTAGTGTTTCGTTAGACTTGAAGCTTTCAAATCATGAGGGTGATTATAAGCAATCAGAAACTAAGGTTTTCTCATGCAATTTCTGCGAAAGAGAGTTCTCAACATCACAAGCTCTAGGAGGGCATCAAAATGCACACAAACAAGAGCGAGCGTTGGCGAAAAAACAAAAAGAAATCAATGAAGAGCATCATCATCAACTGGGTACTTTTGGATCTCCAAAATTATTCTCTTATCCTTATTATCCAACTATTTCTCCACATCCATTTTACGGTTCACTGATCAATAAACCTTCATTTCCATGGCCTTCTTCATTGTCATCGGGATATAATTGGTTTGGCCTTGGCGTGACCAACAATAATACTATACAAATATCATCCATTGAAAGGCTAAGGATGATGAATGATAATGGTATTAATTCTAGGCCATCATTTCCAAGATTTTGTGGTGGTTCAACAAATTTTCAAGCTCTAAATTGGTCTAAAAATGGTGATTATCATCAACAAGGTGACCCTTCAATATCAAAGAGTGATGATAATGAGGATTCATCAGCACTTGATTTGTCCCTCAAGCTTTAATTTATTTATTAATTGTTGCACTTTAGATTTAAGAGTTCATGTCACACACATTTAATGTACTAGTGTTTATTTTCTTTGATGAGGTAACTTTATATGAGTTTGAGTATTATTATATTATATATAAATCTCAAAAGGAAAAAAACAAAAAAATGTGAAATGAGGGGTCATTGAGATTTGAGGGCTAATTAAATTGGATGTTTTATGGAAATTACCTTCTCTATTTGAATTTTAACAACGCATATACTCAATTATGATCATCTTAAACGATAGTTCATAATCTTATAATATTGTTCATTACAAGCCATGTTGTGTTTAAATGATTCTGAGCATCTAAAGATTTCAAAGAGTAGTCTTGAAGCATTACCAAAGTAGTACTCTAAAAAAATCCCATTAAAATATTTAATGTAATGTTAAAAGCACAGTTCATATTTGAGTGTATGACCAGATTAGGAATATCATAAATCTCTTCCTCCAAAGAAAAATTAGCCCTTTGTGCTATCAACATACTCTCATTCCTCCAAGCACAACGCTAGCGAGGCTGCCGTCCATCTGCAGAACCAGCTTGGATTTATTCACAATATTCAACTGCAAAAGTGTGAAATAATCTTGAAAGAAGCAAGTAAATGTTGGATTAACTATGTTCATGATGGCCACGACAATGAAGTAAGACATTAACAGTGATGAAAGACAATAAAACTCATCACTTTACCTGTATCAGAATGTTTCCATTGATGAACTTGATAGTTTTCAGTCACAATGCTCAGTATAAATATCCAAAGTCCAAAGCTATTAACAGTATAAATATTAATCTTAGCCTAAACTCCAGGAATAAATAACATGATTGATAGTTATACAAAACCAGTGATTGATGAACCACAATTAAAGGAATGCTGGATATATGGACATTGCATCTGCACTATTATATTATTCAGGATAAGTTTAAAGCAGTCAGTATTTGATGATACAGATGAAATGTACAGGCCACTCATAAAGCAATTAATCTGGCATGCACCTTCTCTTCCTGCATATCATGAAACAAACAGTGGCAATGACAATATTATTTCTCATGAAAAAATAAAAAAGCAATAACTATAGTGCTATAGTGTCCTTGAATACAGCTAATATAGCCTATGATAAATGAAGAGTTTGTCATGTGAGACACAAAATAGGAGAACTGACCATTGTACAGCTTCTTTAGCCTGCGAAGCCGCTAGGCTGGCAAGTTGATATATTGCATCAAAGTTATTTTGAGCCATTGCTTCTTTATTAAAAATGGCATCTGACAACACAACTGCTGTTGCTCCCTGAGCAATGTACTCCCCTATCAAATCTGTATCAAATTTGAAACAAATTCAATGAAATGACAAAAGAAAATCCTACAAACTGATGGAAATACTCTTCGACCACAACAAAGAATATATGGCAATGAGTTTTCTATCAATTTTTTTTCGAAAATAAATGTCCTGAACATACTGCAAATTTTAAAGTTGTAAGGATACCTCATGAACAAAAAAATGACAAGAAAAGAGAGCCCATTGTGGTTTTTTTTTTTTTTTTCCCCCCCCCCCCCCCCCCCCTTTTTATGTAGAAGGGTTGGGATTTGCATTACAAAGAAGAAAAGTGGATGTCTTAAGACACTTCAAAAAAATAGATCCTTCACAACTCCATATTTCAAATTTTGAAGTGTGTAAAAGTTTAATTTCTGAGTCAGTAAAAAGCATATGATTGCAACAATGGCTTGGGATAATAAGACAGCACTGAAATTACCAACCTATTGTTATGCCTTGAGATGCAACCATTGGGATGTGAGGAAATGGCTTCTTCAATGCCGATATATACCGGGTACGACCTAATGCAGAAACAGGATAAACCTATCCCACCAATTAAATGAAATTAAAATCAGAAGGCATGTATGGACCAGAATTTTTTTCTAACACATGCATCATACTAAACTGACTTTCAGATAAAAGAACAGTTGAGAGCATATGATAAATGCAAAAATGAAAAACAAAATGCAGTATATAAATTCTTTCTTAAAACAACTCATGTACAGTTCTGATGCTGCAACAACAATAATTTATGTTGCAAAGAAAATTTATGATCAGTAACTCAGTTTATGTAATAAAGAAACCTAGTCCAGTGACTTTGAAATTGCATTGATTAGCAGTTTACCCAGAAGCATTATATATGAATACCGGTTCAGAAAGACTCCATAGAAATGGCTCCAAAAACTTAAGGTCTCTTTGTGTTAGATAATAAGTTTATCCCATAGAACAGCTCAACTGCGCATACATGTTTATATCTCAAAGGCATCTCATGTAAACGGACCATTTATAAATTGGGTGCCAGCTAACTATCACTATAAACTTCTTCAAAAAGAAATGTCTTGATACCTCTCTCCAACTTCAATATTAATACATCATATCTTTACACCTTGGGAAAGATCCCCTATATCAAGTCTTGTCCTACCTTCTCTACTAACATTTTGCATCTCATTTGCATTTTGATGTCTTGTATCTTTCAGTCATTGAAGGATTTTTTCTTTATAAATGAATTGAATATTAAAAAATGGGATGTTATAAGCTAGACAAGGAAACCTTTTACTTGATAAGACCTATATTCAAAGAAATTACTTTTAAGGCCATATATAAAAGAAACAAATGCATTTTTAAGATCCTATCTCTCTCATGGAAATGCTGGAAACAAGATGAAGTTAGCAATTAAGAAAAACGGTTCTCATAGAACTGTCATTTGAAACTTTAACTCACATTCTTAGATTTTAGCTCTCAAAAAAATGGCGGAAACAAGATTATGTTAGTAATTACTCCAGAAACATTGTTGATTCAAAGAACTGTCAAAGTGAAACAATAACTCTGGGATATAAATACGCTATTACCGCAACTGTGAAATGTATACTTTTATTTAACGGTATCCAACAGAGTACAGCCTACTAAATTTATCAAACATAACAAAAGAGTAAATTTGGGCATAACCAAGAAATACATCTAGGCCAAATCATTGTAAAGCGAAAATATCATTCCATAGTTATAGTTAGACATAATAAAGAATGCTTTTCAACATTAAAATCAAGAATCTATGCAACAAGTGATGCACGTTGTGCAAAATGACAAGACACTCCAACATCTCTAAATTTATATATTTTGACTCCAATGTCCTAAACAACATTAAAAATGATAACTTGACAAGACTAACCTTGACAATTTTGGCTCCAGCATCATGTGCTGACAATATCTGTAAATTTTGAAATTAAAGATTAAGTGGTTTTTCAAATAAAGAAAAACTAATTGCAAATTTTCTAAATCTCAACCGGTGTCATGAATATAGCCTTCCAGATGAACGATCACAAAGACAGAAATCCAGGCTGGGTAGAGATCATCATTATGAAGCAATGATAAGCAATTATAACTATACAGAAGCCTGAATATTCAAAGATTAGGTGAAAGAACAAGGTTCTCTACCTCTGTTGGGGTCATCACACCAGGTATGTACAGAACTTCACGACCTTGGACATCATCCATAATCCTCTGATGAACAGAAGCATGTTTAGTACAAACAGCAGAGAAAGAATTTGAAACATATTATTAGGTTTGTTAACAAGATGGAAGGTAACTATTATTCATTAGATACTCGGAAAATGGGGAAAATAACCAATCAAGAGAAAAAGGAGACAAAACAAAATCTGGAGACAATACTTTCAGTTTAAATATAGAAAATTTAAGATTCTGAAGGAATACCTTAACTGTCGAAGGACTCATAACAAACTTGGCTCCAGCATTTGTTGCATTTTTAGCATCCTTGACATTTAAAACAGTTCCAACCTGCAAGACATAGAAATTTAGCAAATTTCTAGAAAAATTCTAGAAGAGTAACTTCTACAACATATGTAGATAAGAAGAACATACACATCAGGCCTTCATGCTGTTTCAAAACTAATATATTCTTCACAGTTTTGACAAATTCATTATGCGTTGGCACTCAAGATCAAACAAATGACAATTTGAATCACTTATCAAAAACTAGACAAGAGGGTTTTCAAGGTGATGCTCAACTAATATAAATAATGACATGTCTTGAAAACCCTCCAAGTATTCCTTGATGTACTAACACATACAAGCCCAGAAGCACAACACCCTGCTCTTTGGTCAAACATGTGCTGAGCTTTTTCAGTTCATGTCCAGCACAATTTGTCTGTGCCCACACTGAACATAAATGGCATATATGTAAATCTAGGAGGAGCTGAAGATCTTTACCCCTAAGGTCATTGTAGGATGTTCCTGTGCCAGACTTTGTAAAACCTGCGCAGAAGAGAAGAAAGGCCATAAATTCTAAAGCCAAGTGATAAGAGCAGCAAAAAGAAGGAAAGACAGTATATTTATAAACAACCTCAAACACACCTGGGGTTGACATCACAATCTCCAACTACATATCACAGGAAACAAAAAAATTAATTAATTAATTAAGACTTGATCGATAGTCTATATTCAAAAAACCGCAACTCGATTCAGTATGAATATACACTTTTAGGATCAATTTATTATGCACTAAACCATTCATCCACATGAAAAGATGTGATTAGCCTTAAAGATTATTGAGATATTATAAAGTTATGGTAAAAGGAAGAACTAACCGGAGCAATTAGTACACTACACTATCCATTCATGTCCTTCATTTTTTATGCAAAATGTTCTCCAAAACTACTTAAATTAACAATAACACGATACCCTTTTGTAAATATCACAACTTTTGATGATTGATTTGTTGAAACTATACAAATGATATGATGGCAAATGATGAATCTATTTCAAAATTGAATTGAGATATTTACTTTAAAAGTGTAGCATTGCTCTTAAATTAACAAGAATATTAGTAAAGAAATAAACTTCACGAGCAGTATTCCAAATTATTCACCCCAACTTCACTTATAAGAACAAATTTGGAATAGTTCTTGAGATGGACGGCACAATTCTTAATTAATAGAAAATACAAGACTCACGACTGAGATGCCGCCACTGATTGCAACCCGAGCAGCTTTCATTGCCAACTCTTTACTAAAAAAGAAGAGAACAAACAAATTGAGAGTTTGAAAACTGAGACAAGTCATAACTCTAAGTTCAGCGCCCGAAAAATAATATAATTAATGAAGAATATATAGAAACAGAAACCTGTTGGCGCGAAGGCAAGCGATGACACCAGAATTTTGGATGTGTTTGAAAGGTGTTTGGTTGAGTTGAAGTTGAGAAGAAGTAGAAGAGCAACAAAGTTTAAAGGTAGATAATGGGGATGGTGAGGAAATGAAGTTGTTGTTGAAGCCTGTCATAGTGAGGGCCATTATCAACTTCAAGTGGATAGATATTTTGGTTTGTCTACTTAACGGTATCTGCTTATATAACTTACACGCAAGGAGGGAGAATAACAGAATAATTAAAATATGAAAATAAAAAAAAAATCATATTTTTATAATAGATATAGATAAAGAGTTTTGATTTGAAGTTTCCAAAAATAAGAAAATAAAATAACTCAGAAGTGCTTCTGATTTTCATTATTGAAGGTAGAAAATGAGATATAAATACAAGATTTTACAATTTCATTATTATTAAAATTATGAAAGAAAAATATTTTTTTATTTATATGTATATAATATCTTCCCATCCTCTGATTAAATTAAACGTTATGTGTGATTTTGTTTATAGTAAATATGCAGTCACCTCTTTAAAATAAACATCTTTAATCATTTTCCGTAATTGTTTTTCCTTTAAATAAAAATATGATGAAAAATCCTTTATTGTTTATTTACTGCCAGTCTAGAATGTTTGGCTTCCTGGGTTTATAGAACTTGTATCTTTCAACAATGCAGGAATGTGAGTTAGAATGCTGGAGCCTTGAGTAAAGATAAAAAAACCATGCATGAAATGAAATGAAAAAAACTGCAAATCAAAAGCCAGAAACAACTAGATTCATTTTGATTGATAAACCAGAAACAACCATCAACACAGCCAACCAAACATCAACTACACCAGCCTCTGTGTTTTGCATTCTCATCCTCTTCCACATTCCTATGGAGAAGGAGAAGTAACAAACTGCCTAGGCACACTGAATATGTCTTTCTCTGCAAAAGGCGACGTCCACTCGCGCAAACCTGCTGAAGATGATGTTTCTGTAACCACTCCACCATCCTGCAAACCATTTGTGCTGCCCATTCTCATTCCAGAACTGTTCCTCAATAGAGAAGAAAGGCCTAGCCATAACCCACTTGTTTTCGATGAAGATAGGTTTGTGTTTAAAGTCCAATCTATACTGTTGTAGTCACACTCTGGCATCAACCCTCCTGTATTCCAATCTACATGCGAAGAACCTAAAGTTCCGGCAGATCCCCAACTTGCAAAAAGTCCAAGAGACGATGGAACGGCAAGTGAAGGAGAAGACATACCACCCATTGTGCTCCAAGAACCCCGAGGCCTGGACGGAGCTGTAAGTGATGGGGATGTACCTACCCTGCTCCATGAACCTCCCAAACCAGCTGGCGTAGTATCTAGATGGCTGTACGCATATTGAGTTTCCTTGTAAGGTGCTTGATGATAGAACTGTTCTGAGCTCCGGTTCTCTGTGCCAACATTTCCCATGCTTTGAAGTACTTTCCCATCTGACCTTACATTTTCGACAACTGGAACATTTTTCGCATACCAACCAGCGGTTATGGAAGGTGAGGCAGTTATACTAGAGACTGGGATCTGCTTGGCATTTATAGATTGTTGCCGTTGCATCACAACCACTGGCTCCCTAACTTGCTGGATATTCTTCCCCTCATTTCCAACAACAGCATGCCTAACATCAACTTTTGTAGGAGACACTACTTGCATAGGTGCTGCAGCAGCTATTGAAACAGAAGGGCTTGAACCAGTGGTCGCCCACCTTTTATCTGGCAGTGACTTAGGTGGATTTGTAACTGTGGGCTGTAAGTTTCTACTCCCAGGTTCTGAATATGTTGGTACTGTGGCTGCTGCCTTGGTGTAGTTAAAATCTCGTTCATTCCTTCTCTGCTGTACTGTAATTGAAGCCGCAAGTTTCTCTTGTGGTCTCAACTGGTTCTTGATGTCAGCAGTATCATCTGGATTCAGTGAAGTGGCAGGTGGCTCCTGCTTTTGCGCCTTTACAGTATCTTCTGCCTTATCAAGATCACCTTCACAGGCAACAACAGCTCTTTCGACCTCCTGCTTTGAACATTTATACCTCACCTCCATTTCTGAAATGCGTGTAAGCTCTTCAGTTATATTAATTTTCAAGTTACCACCACTTTCCAGTTGATGGTCCTTATTCCGTGCTTCTTCTTTCAAGTTCAAAAGCCAGTTGACTGATTCTTCTACCCTACCATCATTCAGCATGAGGGCCAAGGTTGCCTGCTCAGAAGAGAAGCCCATTCCCACAAGCTGCGCAGAAAGTGCTTCCAGTTTTCTTGACATTAGATAGCCACAACAACGGTCATGCAACTCCTGTGCTCGCTTCTCTTTTTGACGCTGGTGCTTTTTCTCATTTTTTAAACGGATCTTTTCTCGCCTATCATTGTCAGAACCAGGTATTGTTTCTGGCCGGGGAGTAGAACTTGCAAACTTATCTTTTGTGTCTTCTGACTCACCAGAGCAACTGCCATTGTTTGAAATGGAATCATATTCAGACACTGTTCCATGAGGGCTACTGGAATGCTCATCTGTCTCATCAATATTTCGGAAACGACCATTGTCTTGGTAAGGTGGAGATGTGGCAATTGACGCTGTATCTAGGGTATGGAATGTCCCAGAGATAGGATTGTAAGCACTAGCTGGAGTTCCATTCCCAGTGTTGGTGGAAGATCCCGAAGGCTTAATAGCAGCCTTTTGTTGCTCCTTGGCAGCTTTTCCAGAGGCCTTGGACTTGGATTTAGATGCTGGAGACATCGTCCTGTATTCCAAATCGCTGATCTTCTGAAACAAATAAATGAAAAATCAATTGATAGGATACGGAATAAAAACATGCACTATCCAGATAAACATATTGTAAATATATAAATACACACAGCATGATTTGGGAACCACGCCAAGTTTGGAACAAACAGAACGCATTCTATCAAAGATTTAATGAGTGGAAATCATTTAATAGCCATAAAAGATCCAAAGAACTTGCAGACAATGGCCTCCAGCAATGACACTATTTTGAGAGTGTTTATTAACTCAATCGAACAGTCTCCTAAATGAGCAAATTGCAAATTGTCCATGAATACCAATCTCAGTTGTGCAATCACAGTATAACAATTGGCCCAAAATTTCCACTTCGTAACCCAGAGAATAACAATAGCAGTTATTTTGCGTATCAAAAAATTAGCATTGAGTGAAAAAAAATGCACATAATACAGAGAGACAGATATATGTCCACATATGAGCAAAAGGGCAAATGTTTGCTCTGATTTAACTTTCCTTCAAATGATAAAATATTACAAAGCATCAATGTGTAACGAAGTAATAAATAACAAAGGTACAAAATAATTTTCTTCTTCGCATTAAAGTCTTATTAATCTTTTTATTCCTTGTGTGATCAACTTACCAAAAAAAAAAAAAAAAAAAAAAGAGAAAACACTAATTTAAATCTGGAAACCATGGATTTATCCCACAAGTTTCATGTACACTAAATACAAGAAGAAAGATATGGTTAAGCTAACATATGTGAAAATGTCCTACAATGTATGAATTTCAAGGTTGACCACTCAATTGACTCCAGTCCAACAAGCTCCATGAAAACTGAACTACAAGAAAGAATAAAAGAATAACAATGTGCACACAGTTGATCAAATATGATGATTTCATCTATAAATGTACACTGGGGATAGCATCTATGTAATTTATTAAAATAGTTGAAAAGAAAAAATTAAATTTTCCTGTTACTATTTAGCATATCCATATACATAACATATGAAGCGAGAGGAATAGGAATGAGTAAAATTTAAAATAAAATAAAATATGAAGTAAATGGGAGAAAAACATGCAGCAATCAAGTACGATGACTGAAAGAAAAAAAGAATGGCATGCCTTCAACAAAATCCAACCACTTTCAATTAGATAACCCACCAGCAGAGACAAAACAAATAGCTTTAAAAAAAATAAATAAATAAAAAAAGACTGATTGATTGGCACAGATGTGATTATCATAGCTTATAACTACATCAAACATTACAAGTCCTTAAATTTTTGAGCTTTTGAGCTGAATATAAGTGAGTTGGAGAGAAGAGAACAAATACTTTCGACGTAGGTGCTGTGATAAAATTCAGACACTCGTTAAAGAAAACCCAGGAGATAATGTTCCAAATGGATTTTGAAAGGAAAACAAGGGCATCAACTCTTCATGCATCTGAAACTTTAACCATTTGACACATACTAAATGAGGTATCAACTTTACGGGCTATATGCTAGGGTGAAAAAAATGACAAAAAAGGAAAATGCAAGCTGTTAGTCAATTGATTACCCATTCAATCCAAGCCAAAGCTTCTAGAAGAAATTCCAGACATAATTTTAACCAAAAATCATAGAAACGTATGTGCCAACTAAAGTATTTAGACCTATGGATTCGTGGATGACGCAATGGCACGTGCAACAGAACTTCAGATAACACCACAAAGGAACGCATGGCACATATCTCACTCAAACAATGATCATTTACAGAGAACAGATATACAAATCTCATATCTAGATACAGCCCCAAAATCATATCCAAGAGGATCGCTAATTTAACGGCCAAATATGTCATAACAAAGATTCAAATCCCTTACAGCCCCTAATCTTTCGAAAAACGCGTGTCACACAACCAAAATGAATTCAACCATCAACCATCAAGTTAATCGTAACAAACAAAACCCGTTCGCACATACCTTAATTACTTTTAATTTCCCATTTCACATGCGAGCCCGTCAAAACCAATGAAATAATCCCAACAAAAGAACGAAAAGCATTCGAAAACACGAAAAATTCATAACAAATCCTTAATGCAAATTGCCACAACACATCCCATCGCCTACACAGAACTACAAACAACACCACATTGTTGCCACAAGATTAACAGTCCAAAACAGCCACTAAATCAAACAAAACCTAAACAAATATAACATAATTAGCAAAACATAATAAAAACAAAACAATTATTTAAAAAATGAATAATAAACCAAATAAAACCCATTAAAGCTTAGATCTCAAAGAGTTGAATTACACACTCAAATCAAAACCCAGATCAAGAAAGAGATCAAAAGAACAAACCCACAAAACAATAAAAAACAAACCCAGAAGATACACAGAGATAAATGAACAGAAAGGAAAATCAAAGATCTAAAAGAACAGGAGTAATAAAAATCGAACCTTAAACGGAGAAATCGATGAATATGAAGAAGAGATACTGTGAGAGTGTTTGATGTTTATCGCTCGTTGTTTTTGGGTAAATTTTTGTTTGTTTTTTAATTTATTTATGGATTTTTTTTTTCTCTCTCTCTCTCTCCCTCTTGCTACAAAGGTTTGTTCTTGTACGCGAAATTACAATTATGTTGTATTTAAATGTAGCCTTTCAGTTCCGGTGGTTTTTTTTGTTTTTTTTGGCCTAAAATAAGGATCTCGTTTTTTTCTTTTCAATAATAATCATTTTATTTTTCAATTTTAAAAATTATGCCCTTTTATTATTATATTTTTTATTTTAATAAATTCTAAAATCATATATATTTATCTAACGTACATTTGTACATCAAACCATTAAATCCGATAATTGTGATATGATTCCTTATGATGTTTTTATAGTGTATCTTAAATTAATTTAAAATTATATATCAGATATGATATAATCACGTAAATTATATGATAATTTAAAAATAATATAGTGACATGAAAATAAATAATTTTCTTTTATGTTTTTTAAATACAGCTAATTTAGGGTTTTTAATTATTTTTCATTTGATTTTTAATTTTAAGATCCGTGTAGAAAGGAAAAATAGGCATTAACGGAAACTGTTAGAATCCTGGGAGTTCCGTAATGCCGTCGAGCGGGTGAACATTTGTACTTGAATTAGTAATTAATTCACCATTTGTACTTGAATTAGTAATTAACAGAAAAATAGGCGTTAATAGATCTCTTAAATGAAAATTTTTAATTTGTTTACACTTTACAACAAAAAAAAAAAAAAATCTTAAAATAAAATTAATTTTCAATAATTTAAGATACATTTCAAAATATTTATATTAAAATATGTTATTGGATTTTCAAAGTTCAAGATCTATGATAATTTGGGGAAAACGTAGACAAATAGTGACGAATCCAAGAGTGTTATCATAACGTTTGGTTAAATGTGGTAATTAGATCTCTTGGATACGAACATAATTTGAAATATTATTTTATAAAATTCTATATACTTAAATAATGATATTATAATTATTGTTTTTTAAGAAAAAATCAATGTTTTATTTACTTACTACTTCACTTTTAAATATTTTTTGTATAAATCATGAGAATGGAGAAGTAAATCTCTCACAATCTACCAAGATTGGTTAGTGATTTCTTTTTAAAAATTTTAAATCAATTTTAACTAAAAAAAAAAGGGCAAAATCTAACCCATTTTGGGAATAATATTTAAAAATAATAAAGATTAAATTATTTAAAAAATCCATTAAATAATTTATGGACTTCTTATGCAGATTCGATCTTAGAACTCTTAATTAAATGATCCCTTTTCAATATTAAACCTCTCACTTTAACAGCAAACAAAAGTAGTTACTAAGCTATCACTTTTGGATAAATAATTTAACAACATTATTATATGTCCTTTTAATATAAGTAAATCGTAATGTACCTTTTACAATTATATAATAATTATTTTTATTCAAGGATATGACTAATGTTAAAGGATATATTATATTTAAGATCAAATAAATCAATTTTTTTATTTTAACACAAATACTACCTTAAATAAATAATAATAAAAAGTCTTTATCTTATTGGCTTTCCAAAATATAAATTTAAGGTCAATACTCATTCACTCAACGGGTTTTGGTTTCCATAAATTCTAAAACAACAAATTATTTTCCAAAAGATTAAACGATTTTAACTATTATTTTCTAGAAAATTATAGAATAAATTTTTTTGACAGGATTCCAAAAGATATAAAATTTTAATATATATGCAAACCATCTGAAAAAACCCTTGAGCGGGTTCATAATACTTTCTTAAAACAATGAATGTAGATGAAATTAAACGATAATTAAGAAAACCATTTCCATAATGTCACCCTCTTATTACTCACATTCATTTTCCATGTAAACTCCAAATATAAAGAGAGATAAAAGAGTAAACATATTTACAGCTATAACTATTGTCTTTTGTCAACTATCAAAAAGTTTCAAGTCCTCTAACTCATCCTCACTATGCCTCAAAAGCGGAACAAGACTAGCAGTATGCAAAGTATTCACTATGTTCTAAACTATAAAAATTATTGATCATAATTGAACAGCTTCAGCCCCCAGCTGATATCCTCACAGTGCTTCAAATGAGGAACAAGAGTAGCCGTATCCACCTCCGTCTTTGCCTTGCAGTCGTAAATGGGTGGAGCATGATAACAAGGCTCCATCGACAAGGCACGACCACAAGGAGGATCTGGGGTCTCTCCATCCAATATCTTGTATAGAATCCATGGTCTCGAACCTCCCAGACCTTGGGCGACATAACCGAAGGTCGACCATGCACTAGTGACCAGGACATCAGTCAAACTAAGAAGATATATTTCAGCCCATGCCTTCATGTTATGCAAATTATTATCAGAATGTTGCTCCTCCTCATGGCTAGGCTGGTAAACAGAAACCATTTCCCCGCTCAAAGTCGGGTGCTTGAGATACATATCATTCAATTTCTCGAAGTAATCAGGGATTAAGGATGTTATAAGAACAGCCTTTGATCTCTGGTTTTCTGATGGAGAAGGTATAGTTTTTGACATATCCACTTCAGGCAACAACTTTTCCTTTAGAGTACAGGCCAAAATCTGATCCATAAATTGGGAAGAACTAGTTTTGTTATCAAATACTCTCAATTGGATGCCAATCCTTTCGTCTGCTTTCGCCAGGTACTTCTTATAGTACCCAGTAATTTGTCCCCATACTTGATTTGAAGGGTGGAAAAGATACCTACCCAAGTGATGGAAAACGGTTTCTTTGTCTGGAAATAACTTGTTTAATTCTTCCTCAAAAGATGAGATCAGGAATAGAGATGGAAGAAAGTAGACATTTGATTTCATTATCAACCAGGGTATTTTCCTGAGAAGAATTTGATCTTGATCACAGAAAAAGAGCTTGTCATGATGATCATAATCATGAGAAAGATAAAGATGTAGATATGATGGCAACGATTCCATTGAAGCATTTATTGTGTTATTCTTGAGCATGTTCCCGTAACTATAGGCGTAATCCTGTTCAAAACTGTCAAATTGATCCTTGAAAGGAAAGTCTTTTGGCAATATCCATGATGTACGTGAAAATGGCTCACAGAAAAGATCTTCCATTTCAGGTTCTTGGTTGATGAGCAGAACTCGGTTGGTCAGAAGAGCATAAAGAAAGGCCGAAGTTATGCTCAGTATTCTGTTTCCCAGGCCACAAAAAGCTACCCAGACAACATAATTACACTCACTGGAACTATTAATTTTGCCAGATTTTATTTGTTCCATGGATATGCTGTATGATGTAGTATGAGGTCCACAACGTTTATGGAGCTCTTCATAACTTCGCAGTTTGGCAACAAGATAGGAAGAAGGCTTATGGGGTGAAGATTTGCGATATAACACAGTCTGGTACCTGCTCAAGCAAGACTTTTCAGTGAAGTCTGGTGCCAGAAGTCCATCAAGACGTTTGTAGTCTGGTGATCTGGGTTGAAAGAAATTTCTTAAACCTGAAAAATGTGAGGAAAACCAAGTAAAATTAACAGCTAAAAGAATGCAGGGGATACTGATTACTCCGAACTTTTATTAGAAAATCAAATACAATTAATACTCACTCCTATTTATAAGAGTAGCATGTTAAGAAAACCACAATTTAAAATTTCTGATATAAATACGGTGCCAAGGATGAAACAGCAACATAAATTTATAATTCAGAGTACCCCTCTCTGCAGTGATCTTTAACATATTTCGTTTAAAGAACATAGAAAGACAAAAGAATACAATTAGAAACAGAAGGCATTTCTGACGGCACCAAGTACCCAAGCCAAATACCCAAGGGTGCAAACTGAAGAAATTTGTCCAAAATAAATAAAGCAACCTTGAGAAAACAGGGCCAAAATTATCATGCAATTCTGAGAACTAGCATTTTAAACCACAGTTAATCTAGCGTCAAAACTTGGTTGACATTTGGTAGTAGAGTGTTTTTAGTTGAAAAACCTGTAAAATGTAGGCAGCTTAAGCTAGAGAAATATATAGAAAGTTATTGAGTGCTTACTGAAGTTCGTAAAAAAAGTATAACCTACACAAGCTCTGAGTCTTATAAGAGTCTAGATTTTATCTTAAAAATACAAAGTTAAAAACTAATCTGTATTGTAAAATAACTAAGTTTAATTACTTTTATACAAAGAATTCAGCAGCTCAATCAACATTGAAAATTCATTACTCAGCATAACATAAATCAGCAATTGAAGACAGAAGATAACAGAAATTGAGTCATACTTTGTCCTCTAAACTTTAGGGGGAATCCAAATCAAATATTGTAGAATTCACAATGTCAGCTCAGAACTAGAGCGAAGAAATACTAAACAATCTCGGCGTTTCCTTCTTAAAACAAACCATTGTACTGATTTCTACCGAATTGGAAAAAACATAACTATATTATCATTTTACTTTTTCAAGAACAAAACCAACTTCTTTGAACATTGAAGACTACCAATTTGAACAACTCACAGAAACCAATCATTTAATTAAATTCCATAACAATTAGACATTACTAAAACGACAATTGAAGTGCCCTACCAGCCACATAGCTGCTTGAATTCAAGGTTAAGTTTGAAAAATATTGGGAAAAAATCAAACTTTTAATTTTTTACAAACTTACCAATTGCAACCAAACTCCTCATGAGCGAGATTCGATCCTAAAACATCTTTTATAATCTCAAGAATACACAAACAAACCAACAAATTTGAACATTAAAGAGTACAAATATGAACAACAACCAACTTCAATCAATCAAATCAATGAACTGAAATTAAATTAAATTGAATTAAGGGGTCTTACGGGTGACTGGATTGAAGGGATTTTCATGGGAAATAAGCAAGAGAAAGAGCAAAAGAGGCAAAAGAAGCATCCATGTAGCAAGCTTAGGGAAGCGTAACATGGTGAAACTATGTCGTTTCAGCTGCATATTCAGATTGAAAGGCCTCCGTCGCCCATCTAAAACCATTAAGGTCCCTAGAAATATATATACATAGGTAACAAAATCAAAAGCTGAAAAAGATGGAAACTGTAACTCGGTTGAGTTGACCTTTCAACGAAGAAACGTCAGAAGTTCCTGGACTTCCAAGAAGGAAAAGAAGATAAAGACAAAATGGAAAGAATAAAAATGATTGTCATGTGTTAAAGATTTTTTAATAATTATGTAATTTTCTCGAGAAAAATTTAAGAATTGAAATTTGGAAGGCTGAAGAAAAAGAATGAGAAAACCCAACACAAACAAGAGAAAATTTAAGAATTGAAATTTGGAAGGCTGACGAAAAAGAATGAGAAAACCCAACACAAACAAGATGATTACGCTGTCGTTTCTACCGTTTCTTCTTGGCCTTGGCCAGCTAGCGGGAGTGACCAATGAAAGTGTCGATATTTAAGAGAGTTAATCATATTAATCTTCCACGTATAATACAGGATTTCAAAATAATAAATTATTAAAATTTATATTATTATAAATAATTTATTATAATATTTAAAATTTAACAACAAAAAGATTTAAGTTATTTTTTAATCCTCAAGCTTTTGTATTATATCCTAACTTAGGGAATTAAGAATTAACTCTATTCAAGAGGGAATGTTCGTGGCATTTTTTAATAGTTAGTTTGGTGCCTAAGGTTTAATCGCAATCTATTCAGATCCAGTAAAATCTAAAACTAACACTTAAATCCTTATCCGTTTACAGTTATTTAATTTATTTATTTATTTATTTATTTTTTGAAGTTTAAAATACCCCTAATCTTGTCTTAAGTAAATAGCATTAAAATTTAACAGAATTATAAAAATATATAAACAAATAAATAAACAGCTGCTAGTTGATAATTTTGCTAATTAAAAGAAAACAAAAATTAATAGATGAGGGGTATTTTAGATTTTTAACAAAATTCTTCAAATAATTTATAATTGTTAAGTGATAAGGATCTAAAGTCAGTTTCAATTTTATTGGACCTTATGTTAGTTAGACCAAACCTAAAGGATCAAAATGCATTTAACTTCCATATTTAAGGTTTTGTTTAATAATAATGTTGAGATTTCAAGAAAAGGGTTTACATTCAAGAAGGTTTTGAATAATGTTATTTTCATCGTGAGATACCAATTTTGAAAGTGATATGTAATTTATATATACATTTGTGAGCGTTGATATATGAAGGTGCATTGACATATGCATCATTTTTATTCATGGTGAATGCAAATGAATAGTTAAAAGATTTGATAATTGTCTTAGAAATGTAATTTAATTGTATTAAGAAATTATTATTTTTTTTTTTAATGTTTAGTAGGGCACTTATTTGATATGCCATTTATGTGGAGTCATTTTATAAGTGTGTAGTATCCTTCATGAATTGTCCAAGTTTTTGATATGGTATGTGTATTTCATACAATAAGATATGTGGATGCATTCGTATATGTGAGTGGTGGACTCATTAAAATATGATACGTGTTTTTTTCATGCAATAAGGTTTAACTCTTATCTCCAACCCTGAGTGTATTTTTTTTTTTGTGAAAAGCCTTACTTGTACTTGTGTTTATATTGCATATCACATCTATGATTCAAATATGGTCAGTGATAAGTGAAATCCTATTAATTTGTAATTGAATGATGATATTTCTAGTCAATATTTGAAAGGAAAGTTTGAAAAGTGTTTATGAACCGAAAACATTACACTTTTGAAAAGTGCACAATATGAAAGTGTATTCGTACTAACACTGTATGCATACGTAAATTACATTTATTATAATTAGGTCGAACGACATGCAACCACTCATAGTTTGTTGTAAAGACAAATTGTGGTAACCAAAAAGTTCAAAAATGACAAACACTCACTTTTCGTTAATATTGTTTAACGGAAGAAGTTAGCATAGTAAATTCAAAAACAAATAAAGGGTAATTTGGTCATTTACCCCTTTCTTCTTCAATTAAACTCACCTTTCTCTCTCAAGTACTCTTCATCTTCCACTTTTCTTCTTCAAAGCCGCCATCGTCGCCGTCGATTTTCTTTCCTTTTTCCTTCACCTTTTCAATTAATCTCACCTGCCATCACCATCCTCCATCCCCAGCCAGATTTGACCCATTTTTGGCTGAAATTTCCTCTTTTCTGTGACCCATCTTCACCCTTGCAAAAGACGAAGTTTGGAGATTTGGCTGTTGTCCTTCGCACCGCAACAGTAGCCACAATGTAGTAGCAAGCGACCAAGCGATCGTGCACTGACACGCAACCCACTTGATTCTCTCCTTCCCCACAGCCCTACCATACATGTTTTTCCTTGCGAATCCCACTGGTCGTTGCCTCTTCCTAACAAAGATCACCAAACCCACAGACCAAATAACCATGATTTTGAAAAGGAAAAAAAAAAACAGATAAACCCACACTACCACTAATAGAGATTGTGCTAATTTGTTAGTATTCAAAGGTTTTTAGAGATTTGTGTTTCCATAGTTAGATTAAGGGTATATGGTGCTATGGGTGGTAGTGTTGGTGTCGATGTCAATGGTGGGGATTGGTTGGTGCTAATGGTGGCAGCATGTTTGTCGCTTGTGACCTACATCTGCCGCCGCGAGACAATCGTGTTTTGTGGCATTTTCTTTAGCATTTTGTTGGTTTTTTGGTGTTTGGTCAGTGGGTTGATGTTTAGAAGTGTTTGTGTTGCTGTTGTGGTGTTTTTTTCTTGTCGACGACCGCTCCCCCATCTTGCTGTTTTATTGTCACCCACCACATATTCAACCTTTTGTTGTATCCAGCTCCCAATCTGCCCAGCAACCAACTATTCGACCGTTTACCACTCTATCCTTCAACAGACAGAATTCATTAACAGAACTTGACGGAAAGTTGGTGTTTGTCATCTCCAAACTTTTTGGATACCAATATGTCTTTACAACAAACTATGGGTGGGTGCATGTCGTTTGACCTTATAATTATGAGACAAGTTGGATGACATAGCTTTTTTTACACAAATTATGATATAATTTTATAGGCATTAGATCAGCATATTTTTGAATGGTCAAAGATTCAATGCAACTTGTGCTGTATTACACAACTTATATGTAATTTCAAACATTTAAATTAATCAATCGAATAACTCAAAACTTATCAATACTTACATGAAAAATGTGAGGCTTTTGAACATGAACAGGGGTATTTTCATCATTTCATGGTAAATCTAGGGGTGTCTTTGTTAGTTTCTCAAATAGTGAATCTTAATAATATTTTCCATTTTGGCTTTGCTTCTTCTCTTCCCAGTCTCACTCAAAGCTCATAGTCCCCGCTACCAGTCACTGCACTTCACAAACCTTCTCCAACTACCACCTGTCACATGGCCAGAGTCAGAACATTTCGTTAATCTGCAACCTTCTTGTAACTTGCATTGTTCCTGTTAGCCACAATCAAGCAAAGCTTAATCCATGGCTTGTCAAGCAAAGTTTGATTTTAGCCATTAGCATGATTCTAGCATGTATTGTAAGTACAAATAGAGCTCTTGTACATTGGAAAATACACACGTGAAATACAATTTCATTCCTTACCTTTCTCTCTAGAATTTTTTGTCTTTCTCTCTAGAATTCTAACATGGTATCAGAGTCATGTTTGTTTGAGGCGATGATGGGTTTGGACCTAGCCTTGCACGCTGAGCGTGAGGGAGGGCATTGAAGTTGAATTTGTTCCACATCGCCAAGTTGGTGGGGTGTTATAGTGTATATATGTTGTTGGGCTCCCTCCTCCCTTGAGCTAGTTTTTTGAAATGAGTTCTATCCAAGCCCACTTTATCATGGTATCAGAGCCACGTTTGTTTGAGGTGGTGATAAGTTTGGACTCAACCTTGCACGCCAAGTGTGAGAAAGGGTATTGAAGTTGAATTTATGTCACATCGCCAAGTTGGTGGGTGCTATTGTTGGCTTTGCCATGTCATCAATGCCGTGCCATTGTTGACTCGCCACGCCATGTCATCAACGCCGTGCCATTGTTGACTCGCCACGCCATGCCATGCCATTATTGGCTTTTGTCACGTCATTGATGTCATGTCATCATTGACTAGCCAAGTCATTGTTGGTCTTTGCCACGTCATCGTTGACTCGCCAGGTCATTGTTGGCTTTTGCCACGTTATCGTTGACTTGTCAGGTCATTGTTAGCCTTTGCCACGTCATCCATGACATGCCATCATTGACTCGATGCGCCATTCTTAGCTTTTGCCATGTCATTATTGACTCACCAGGTTATTGTTGGCCTTTGCCATGTCATCGTTGACTCGCCAAGCCATTGTTGGCTTTTGCCATGTCATCGATGCCGTGCCATCGTTGACTCACCAAACCATTATTGGCTTTTGTCATGTCATCGATTCCACGTTATCGTTGACTTGCCACATCATTGTTGACTTGTTTGTCTGCTCTGTTGATCAATTTGCCGATATCTTCACAAAAGCTCATCACCTAGGACGATTCACAAAGTTAGTTTCCAATTTCAAGTTGGAATCTATGTTACCACCTTAAGCTTGAGGGTGTTAGCCATAATCAAGCAAAACTTGATCCATGGCTTGAATCAAGCAAAGCTTGATTTTAGCGATTAGCATAATCATTAGCATGATTCTAGCATGTATTGTAAGTATAAATGAGCTTACATTGGAAAATGCACACTTGAAATACAATTTCATTCTTTGTCTTTCTCTCTAGAATTTTAACATTTCCTTTTTCATTTTCTTTTCGCTTAAAGTCCTTCTACCTTGTTGTGTTATTTTTTCTATTATTTTCTTCCATTCATCATTCTTTACATGTTGCTTTTTTTTTTTTTACATCTATACTTTAGTTTCTTTTAAAAAAAAAAAAATTTAGGTAAAAAACCAAAAGGTTAATGGCACTATGATCATATTTTGGGGTTTTATTATTTCTTGAAAGTATTGATTAAGCATGTTAACTAAAATTTTGAGGATTGTTAATGGTTACGAGTTGCGCTAAAATAGAGATATTGGCTTGCATTTGTGTGTATAATAGTTGAAAACTATGGTCAAATTGTTAATTTTCAAATCAGTTTAAAGTGGTAAAAAGGAAAATGTGTTTCTAATGCTTAAGAATCAAATAGTTAAATCATGAATGAGTGTCGTTCAGTGTTCAATGGCGGTATCGTTCAAATGATGTGTCATCTTAAAGTATGTTATTCGAAATATAGCTTATTTGTAGTTTTGATATGGCATTCATGATCTGTGTCATGTCAAATGGTATGAATCATAAAACAAGACATCAATTTAGGGATCCTCACACATGTAGGTTAACATCTCCATCAATCTCTAACTTGAAGGAACATGTTGTTTGTCACATATG